TTTTTTTTCTAAAATTTTATTTTGATTTTGAATATGAGTCTATTTTATATTAAAAAATTTTTTTTTAATATTTTTCTTTATTTTTTCAACTCAAATATGTTTATAATTATATTTATCTAAAAAACGAGACGTGCTAATGCAGATGAAATACAAGAAGCAATGAATGATATAATAAAAAAAATTCACATTTTTTTAACATAGCTAAATTATACTTATTGTTAAAATTATTACAAAAGATCTAGAAACTATCTCATTTATTTACGAACCATATATTGATAGTAAAAGAAAAATAAAATAATTAATAAATTTTTCATAAATGAAGAATATTGTTTTTCAAATTATTTAAAAATTTCTAGCAAAAATATGCTACGGATTAATATCAAATTAGAAAACTGACATATCAGTATACATCTAAAAAAAAAAAAATAAAAAATGAATCAATTTAAATTAACTCAGAAATTTCTTTAAAAAAATATTATGTTGTACTATAGTATTATAAATGAAATAAATCGTTTATAATACAATATTGAGTTTAGATTTTTATATTTAAAGAAATAATAATTAATAAAATAATATTAAATTTTTTTTTTATTACACTGATCCTTTCACAAATCATAATAATTGTTTTAATATAATCAATTTATCAAAACAAAATAAAATTTTTTTAAAAAATAAAAAAAGAAATATAAAAAAACATTATAATAATATATTTATAATTGGATATTATTAATTAAACATCTGATTTTTCCAATATTATCAATTAGAAATAAAATGTTCTAATTTTTTTTATATCTTATTCAAAACAAAAATATCCTTTTCATGCTACTTTTCTATATTTTTACTATTTTTTTTAAACTAATAAATATTTAATTATTGTTAATAAGTGTTAAATAAGTGTAATAAGTGTTAAAGTATTTATTATTCAAAAAATATTTGAAATCTTTGAGATTGCAATCTTTAACAATTATATAATATATTCAAATAATATAAATTCAATTATATACGAATATTTTTTTTAATATACAATATATATAATATTTCCATTGCATCTATTGGAATATATTTTTTTTCTTTTTTCAATTTTCTTTAAATTACAATTAAATTAAATAATACACATTAAATTTTAAATTAATTAAATTAAATTTTTTCTTTTTATATTTTTAATTTAATATTCTAATTAAATTTCTAATGCATAGTATATATATATATTTA